CATCAGGATGGATGGTGAAGAGATTGAGATTGTTCACAGCTTTAGTTTGCTTGGCTCCACAGTCAACACTCTTGGCACCAGCAGCCAGGAAATTAAAAGTTGTATTGAGATAGGAAAGTCTGCTGTTAGTGACCTCTTCAAAGTACTAAAGAGCAATGGTGTCTCTCTGGAGACTAAGGTGCGTCTGATACAGGCTATGGTCTTTGCAATCTCTTGTTATGCATCAGAGAGTTGGACAATGAGTAGGGAGGATAGAAGGGGAATTGATGCCTTTGAGCTGTGGTGCTGGAGAAGAATATTGAGAGTACCATGGACCGCCAAGAAAACAAACAGATTCCTCCTGGAGAGGGTTAAACCAGGCGGCTTCCTGAAGGCAAGAATTCTGAGGCTCCATCTAACATACTTTGGACATGTTGTGAGGAGAGACCAGTCCTCGGAGAGGGACATCATGCTTGGGAGGGTGGAGGAACAGCACAGGAGAGGAAGGCCCTCTATGAGGTGGATTGATTCAGTGACTGGGGTAATCGGGGTGGGTGTATCAGAGACAGTGATATTGGAACAGGATAGAGCAGGGTTTAGGGCTGTTATACATAGGGTTGCTATGAGTCACAAGCGACTCGACGGCATGTAACAACCACCACCTCTGGGATTGCAGTGTAGCTTCTTGCCACTAGGCTACCAGAGCTCCCGTTTACAACTTTTCTTTAGGGACCTCGGGTTTTTGTTGTTTTTGTTAGGTGCCATGGAGTTGAGTAAGACCCATATTGACCCTGTGAACACGAACCTGAGCCCTGTCCTGTCCTGTGCTGTCCTCGTCATCTCGGACACGTTTGAGCCCATTGCTGCAGTCACTGTGCAATCCATCTACTTGGAGGTCTTCTTCTCCTTCACTGACCCTCCATCTTTCCAAGCATGATCTAGGTCCCTTTTCCAAGGAACAGCCTCCCATAGCAACAGGCCCAAAGTATGAGAGATGAAGGTTTGCCATTCTTCCAATGAGCTAGCCAGGTTCAATTAAGTCAGCTCCAACCCACGGCAACCCCTCTGTGTATCTGGGGATGACGTGTGCTCTGTGAGATTTTTGTTGGCTGTTTCTCAGAAGCAGATTTCCAGGCCTTTCTCCTGAGGCACAGCTGAGGGGAATTACACCTCCAAGCTTTTTGTTAGTCATGGAAACTCGTACCATCCAGAAGCTCCTGAAATGATTTAGGAAGAAGAACTTATTTCAAGCACACGCACGCTAGCCAGTTCCTCAGGTAGTCTACAGCCCTGCTGTTTGCCCTCCGAGATGTTGGACATGAGAGCCTGTGTCCATACACATCACACTG